GTGCTGTGTCTGGTGCTATGAGATACCAAAAATGGTATAAAGCAGCAAAAAATAATCCTCAATACTAAGTGTTTCTCCTGTGGAGGTAATCTATCAGGGATCCTGGCAGAATGGAAACTAGCATTTCTGGTCTTCTGGTTAATCTAATACTCCAAAATTCTAGCTGTTAATTAACAATTGTTTCATTATCAATAATTGAATAATTATTGAAGTAGGCTTATGATTAAAAATGACCCAACTCTTAATTGAAAAAAAAAGAAGAGATCTTGATTACATCAGAAATAAAATTAAAATAATAGAGCCTTCATATTTAAGAGAAGTAGGAAAACACTTCAGTAATGGTTTTGTTTCTCTTCCGCAGAGCTTTGCATCTGAACATTCCATGCTGCTTTAGTAATCTAATCTAAGTAAGTGTCACCAATAGATGTTGTTCCATATTACAGAACCCTGAGGTTTAGGGACTTCTCATTCCCACTGTTAGGGTGACAGCTTCATCTTACTGCAATGCATCCTAGCAAGTTTTTATTCTTGGTCTGTCTTCTGGCCAGTGCACCCATTACTATATTTAAAACATACCCATATTTCTGAGTAAATGAAAGGGTTTTACAAGGAGAAATAAGCTTTAAACCAAATAATTGCAGCTGATATTAAAAATGAAAAGTGTGCTTAGTTCAAATGTAGACATGATTGGGTGGCTGGTTGGATTTTATTTTGTTAAAAACAGCTTATTTGGGACCTATCTAGAATTCGGTGCTTAGTCATTGTGCTGGTTTTGGCTGGGATAGGGTTAGTTTTCTTCATAGTAGCTAGTATGGGGCTGTGTTTTGAATTTGTGCTGGAAACAGTGTTGATAACACAGAGATCTTTTTGTTATTGCTGAGCAGTGCTTACACACAGTCAAGGCCTTTTCTGCTTCTCACCCCACCCACCAGCGAGTAGGCAGGGGGTGCACAAGAAGTTGGGAGGGGACACAGCTGGGACAGCTGACCCCAACTGACCATTACGCGTGATGGGGCCCTGCTTTCCTGGAGATGGCTGAACACCTGCCTGCCGATGGGGAAGTAGTGAATGAATTCCTTGTGTTGCTTTGCTTGCGTGCGCGGCTTTTGCTTTACCTATTGAACTGTCTTTATCTCAACCCATGAGTTTTCTCACTTTTACCCTTCCGATTCTCTCCCCCATCCCAGCAGTGGGGAGTGAGCAAGTGGCTGTGTGGTGCTTAGTTGCTGGCTGGAATTAAACCACAACAGTTCTTTCGGCAACCATGAAGGGACTCAAACCCTCAATCTTCTGATAGTTTATTATACAGTGGGGCCTCCTCAGCAGGCGTCACCTCCACCTCTCGTGATATTCTGAAATCTTTGCCTTCTGACCAGTCTATGGTTACTTCCAAGATTCCTGGGCGATTGGGGTTTCCTATTCGAGCCCACTGTGTGATCAGTGTGACCCACTTACTCCACGTAGCGTCGGTTGCATGATGTATAGAGCAGACCCTCCCTCTGAACATCCAGCCTAGCACCGGCAGTCAGGGTGTCAGGAGGAGCTGTGCTTCAGTGCCAACCGCTTCCAAAGCAGCTTGAACCCCTTCATATGCTGTCAATATGTTTCAACCATTAAGACATGCCTAGAACAAAAAGTCTTCACGACTGTTTTTAGGAGAAAAACTCATAAAGCTATCAAAATAAAGAGCACTGACTTTAAATATAAACAACAACAGAATATTGGATGGAGCACATGGCGATTTTGGCTTCACATAACTAGGTAACATAATTTCAGTGTCTTTTGGTGAATGAAGTGGTTATTTCCATGTCTTTATGAATAATGAAATATACAATATATACAGTCTGTAAAAACTGTAAAATAGCCAGGCCCTCATTCATGTGATAGGAGAAAGCCAAATGCTAAATATCATCCTGGAAGAAAAAAAAATGTATAAACCTTTTAAAGGATTCAAATTCAGAAAAATGAAATTAGTTTATTTTTGCTCTTATAACAACAACAAAAAAGAATTCTACAACAATGTCAGTAATTTCTGCTGTAAACTGTAGATACCTAATAACAGTAGATACCTAATAATAGAAGGTTTAATGCATCGCTTGAAAATAGTGTTAGATGAATGTTATGGAGGATGACAAAAATGGGTAGTATATCTTGGACAGGAAAACAATACAACAGAAATACTGAAATAATTGAGATGATTTGATATCAACATGATAATCTGATATTTGTAGGACTAATAGACAGTTAAGAAGAGTGTAATTTGGGATAGTAATTGAATTATAGACTCCTTCCTTTCCTCTGATTTCCTATCCTTTCTACTCGTTTACTGGAGTGCTATCTTAAGTCATTCATTTCATAGTGGGGTGAATGTACCTCTGTGAAGTTATGACTGCTTTATACTTGAGTTAAGAAGAGGAGGAAGAAAAAGGCAACCAGTGTATGGTCGGTATAGAATGTGCTTTTAGTGTTGATCTATAATAACTAAGCTGTGGTACATATCAAGACATTGTAAATGTATTACTGTGAATCATCTAAAGTGTTAATACATTGGATATAGTCAGTATTAAACATTTTTCTTCAGAAAAAAATAGGACAAGTAGAAACATTTTTGAAACAAAGAGTGAATTCCTGAAGCATGGTGTTTTGTCAAGGAACTAATTCTTTGGCAAGTCTGCTGGCTGCTGTAGATCTGGTTACAGCTATATACATTTCAAACTCCTCTCTCTGGGAGTCTGTTCTCATCTTTTAGCTTTTTAAACTTGAGTGTTTTCCTCCCTATTTCCTCTGTGTATCTCAAGAACCCGTGTATTTACAAAAATTATGTATCAGATAGCAGCAGAATACATTCAAAGAAGGAGGTGCTGGAATCTTCACAGTCATTTTTCTTAACCATCTGAATTCCACATACACTATACCAGCTGTATCCTAGCATCTGATCTCAATGAAAGACTGAAGGAAAATTTGGTTTATTTAGCTTATCAAAGAGAAAGCTAAGCAGTAACTGGATCACAGTCTGTAATTACTGACACAAGGAAAAGTTACCTGATACTAGAAGACTCTCCAATCTCACAGACAAAGGTGTCATGAGATCTAGTGGCTAGAAGCTGAAGTCAACAGAGTTCAAAGTAAAAATGAGGTGCAGATTTTTAACACAAAGTTTGATTTACCATTCCAAGAATTTAGCATATGAGGTAGTAATTCCACAGCTGGCCTGTGACTGAATGGAGGGAGCATATAGTCTCTTGCGTGTGTCTGGGAGACCTCCAAAGAAATCAAGCCCCTTCCCTTCTTCAAGGCTGTGTTTAGTTAGTGTGGGGAGCTGAGGTGAATGAACCAGTACCATCAGCCACAGTGTTGCTTTAAGTCTTGTCTGTAACTTCTTCCCATGTAGACAGTACAGGGGGCTCACTGTGTTCCTCTCTTCGGTTTCCATCAAGGACAGAACTAACATTTCAATGCTCTTCAGTGTGCTGAAGCACAGTCGTTTTGTTGCTGTTGTTCCTGTCATCTCTGAAATAGACTCATCATGGTTATGAGAAAAAAGTTATGGAGAACAAATTAACAAAAATCCATGGAGGTCTTTTAATACAAAATGTACAAACTTAAATTACCTTTTTCATATATGAAGACATGTTACTAACTTGAAGCTACATCAGTGAAAAAACTGAAGGAATACAATTTCCATTACCTCAAGCATGAAGGATCGTTGACAGCAGCAACATATGGTCTCCCTAACATTTCCCTATTCAGAAGTTGGGTGAGGTCATGATTACAGAAAGCGAAGACCTTAACTGAATGAGTAAAGCACTGCAAGCTGGTATACCAATGGTTTCTATGTACCTAGTGGAGAACAGAGAAATTAAATCTCTCAAGTCTGAAACCTTCTTTTTGCATTTCCCTTTAGTGAAGGTGTTCATTGTGTTTCTTTGTTTCACCAAGGCTGCAACTCTCTTAGTAACTGCAGCCTAGGGGAAGGCACAATCTACAGAGCCTGGGAAATGCAGTTGCCTGTAGTGAGGAGATGGTCCCCATCCCAAATGGCTGACTACTCATAGGACGAAGTGTCAGGGTCTCAGGTATGGGCAGAGCCCACCTGAGCAGAGGTGGAGGGCTGAAGGCAACCCTCCAGCTGATGAAAAGGATTGGGAAAGGGTTGTTCTACACCACATGATAGTGCTGGAACGATGATTTACAGATGAGACAAGTTAATAAAGCTGATACCTAATTAAATTGTGTCTTTTTTGTCTGTTTTCCTCCACATCCAGAACAGTGAAGGAGAAGTGAAAAAGATTATTTAGGTATTAATATCTAGTCTTAGACCAATACCTTCAATTGAGAAACTGACAAATTGGAAAAGCAATGCTAATTTTCAGCTATTTTATTTTAAAATATTTTCACATTAATTTTAAAGTGCAAAAATACAAATTCTTAAATTTTGTTCATGGTTTGGGATATTGAATGTACTTAACCAGAAAAATTATTGTGTTGACATATCGTTCTAGCTAATTTCTGTATTTATTAATGGAATGGAAGGAGTTCTAACTTATGACCCTGAAATGGATGTGAATAGCAAGTTATATTATTTTGGTTGTACTTTGCACAAGGTAGCCTCAGAAGTAAATCTGTTATCTGATACATAACTGACAACTGTGTCATGCACACTGTTGGAAGAAAATACAACTAAGCATAATTGCACCTGTGTCCATTACCCTGTGCATCCTTGTAGAATTTGGGTTTTTTTGAGGAAAATAAGTTGATGTGACTCATGAGAAATAGATCTTAGGAGTATCAGGTTATGGTACTTACTGATATTTTTAGAACAGCTATACTTCATTGCATTTTTAAAAAACATTTAAGTTCATATTTTAACTCACGCTTTTTAAGTGTTAAAGAGATGATTAACTTAAATGTACTTTGTTGATGGGTAAAATTTACTGTTGTTATGTAATATTTTAATGAAAAACTCCTGCTAATAACTGTCACCTTGACTTTCTTTAAAGGTCCTCGCCTATACAGAAGGCCTTCATGGAAAATGGATGTTCAGTGAGATTCGGGCTGTTTTTTCAAGACGTTATCTTCTCCAGAACACAGCTTTGGAAGTGTTTATGGCAAACAGAAGTATGCCTTTGTTTATTTTGTTGCATAAAAATGTGCTAGTAGTTATTTTGTGTGTTATTTATTAATCTTAGAATTTAAACTCTGTGCTTCCTTTGATAAAGTGCTTATGTCTGTGTTCAGTAATGCTTATTCTTGCATGTATTCATTGCATTTCATATTAAAATGAATCACATAAATCAATCTCACTGCTTTCTGTGCAGCAGTGAGATTTATTTGTAAAAACAGATCATTGCAATTGATAAATTCTTCAAATGTTTGACAGAAAATTTGCTTTTTCTATGATCTCACCCCTCTCCTCCATTTTCTGTAAATATTTTAGTGAAATACCTAAAAGGATATTTCCTTTTCTCATTATAAACTGAGTTAAAGTAAAAAGGACCAGATCAATAAATGGATCCACTCAGTTTTCTCTATGTGCTACTCTGAATCAGAGTTGAGGAGTTGGTGAGGTGTGTCAGTAGTCTTTTGCCCTGAGGAGCTCTGATGTAAGTTTTGATTTCAACTGGAGAGGGAATTAAACAATTTCTGGTCCTGTGTGTTTTAATGCACCAGTTAGAAGACCGAATGCCATGCCAACTACTGAACAGCTCCCCAGCCTGATAAGAGGTTATATGGGTTAATGGTAAGCTGCGTTTCCTCTGAAGTATACCTCACTCAGGTCTTCTGCAAAATGGGAAAGTTAATGCCAAATTGTTAACCAGCTAATGCTACACAGGTATGAAGTATGCCAGGAGTTTCTGTTCTGACTTGGATCCAGAGGAGGATAAAAGTAGAACTGACTTCTCTTCCCAAATAAAAAACAAAAAGCATTTTAAAAATATATGCGGTTGAAGAAACAGGCTTCTGCAAATGGTTTACCAGTCCATATTTTCTCTTCTTCATTTAGCTTCCGTTATGTTTAATTTTCCTGACCAAGCAACAGTGAAAAAAGTTGTGTACAGCTTACCACGTGTTGGAGTAGGAACCAGCTATGGTTTGCCACAAGCCAGGTAATTTAATTAAAATAGTTTTTATATTTTGTTTTTATTATATTATACAAATGATATTTTTAAACATGTCAAAAACATTATTCCTGTCATGAAACTCTAGATTTTCTCTTTCTTAAGGTTAGTTTGAGAAACAATATCCTTTACTTACTATATGGCCTGTTATTATGGAGTAGAAGTAAAAGTATTGTAAATTAGATTTTTTTAAATCATTACAGAAAATAAGTACCTTCCAGTGAAGGACCAGAAAAAAACTTATACCTTATCTCTTCAAAGTCTGGTTTTCAGTCAGGTTTTATAAATGTATAGACAAACATTCATCGTTATGTTATTGTTATGCAGGACATGGAACTAAACTTGACGAGGTTTTGTGTGTGCTGAATGAAAATTATTTTTTTATATGTATCTTCTTCCTTGCCTTTTATATGAATGTGTGTGGGTTTTACTTCATTGCTCATCAGTATAGGGGCTATTTTGCAATTTCCAAATTTCTTCCATTCATTAGTATAATGCATATTATTCTTCTGTTTCCAAAATTAAGGAGGATATATATTTTGGAAAAGACCAACTAAGGTTCAGTTTTAGAGATTTTCACATACTATGGACAAGTACAGTTTTTATTATCTCATCAACATCAATATCAAATCAGACTATGGTCAGAAATAAGGCTGGGAATTGTCAGATCCTATACTATGAAAGTATTCATATTTCAGTGATGGTTCTTCTGTTTCCAAAATTAAGGAGGATATATATTTTGGAAAAGACCAACTAAGGTTCAGTTTTAGAGATTTTCACATACTATGGACAAGTACAGTTTTTATTATCTCATCAACATCAATATCAAATCAGACTATGGTCAGAAATAAGGCTGGGAATTGTCAGATCCTATACTATGAAAGTATTCATATTTCAGTGATGGGTAAGATGATCTTCATGTGTACTTCACTGAGTTGGGAGGGAAAATTTCCTGCCTTCAATTTTTTTTTTGTTTAGAAATGTCTGTTTAGACCGAAAATTGTTTTTGAGGGTATATCAACAGAAGTTCGGTGAAAAATGTTTAGGTTCAGGATTAATTTCTGGTCAAAATGAAAGAAGAATAAATAAATATAAGGGAGTGAGGACACAGCAGGAAATTCACAAAATATGGTGCTTTGGGTTCAGATCTCCATTTGGCTTGACTTGGCCAAAAGCCAATGACTTAATCATCAGTGAAATGTCTGGGATGTGTCTTTCTCTTCTTTAAGTCATTTCCTAGAAACTAAAACTCCATATTGTCCTTGTTTTATCCCAGTGCAGAATGTGGAAATACTCCGAAGTGTCAAAGCATTTGTAGGATTGGAGAACTATTTCACTCCCAGCTGAACATCATTCCCTGTCATGAGCCCAAGAGTCTCATGATGCCTAAGGCTTGATCTCCTGAATGTGCTGAAGTTCTTAGGCAAACTGCCAAATTTCTCAAGTTTTCACTGAGATCAAGGGGAAGTTGGGGCATTTCTTTGGAAGGTGCATCTTGTTAATATTTGCACTGCTTTTCCAAATACTCAAATTAAAGGAATTGCTGTCTCTAAATGGAAAGTAATAGTATTCTTTTCTGAAATAAAAATGGCCACATGTTCTGGAACAAACAAAATGCAAATTTCTCAATCAGAATTTCATATCTACAGTGACATTTTTTACTTTTGAAATTTGTATGCTTTGTGCATTATTCAGTGAATAATTGTCTGAAAAAGTTTGTTGATATATAATTATTTAGAAAGTTTCAGCTTCAATATTATATGCAGTTATTTCCATACCTTTTTGATTAAAGTTCAATTTGAATCGAAAATGGGCTTGTTAGCCTTCAGAATAAATCTGGCATATGGTAGTGAAGTTGTTTTTCTTTCTTGTTTTTGCGTAATCGTGGTATGATTTATGCACAATAAAGACCCTGTAATCATGTTTTTTCCTTTTTTTCTGCCTACATACCCTTATTGTCTTCAGTAGGATTGCAGTGGAGTAACTGAGGGAAAAATCTGGCTCTGTAACTGCTCTGTAGTTAATATTTTGTCGATGTTAGAATATAGTTTCCCTTCCTATGAATATGTTGGCTCTGGAATGCTAATTTTTAAAATTATGCTTATTTGTATGACTAACATAAGGAGAAATTATGCTGAGTAATCAAAAGGAGCTGCTATGCTGAGTAAAATGTTATCCTTTTTTTATGACCAATTTTCCAGATTAAGCTGTACTTTAAAATATTTTAACAAAAGCACATCTTTCTGGTTGTTTTGCTTAAGTTCTTTAGTTTTATTTTTGTAAGTAATATTTTCTTCCTGATACTACTCTGATAAAAATTTCATCTAAAATTAATTACTTTATCGCAAAGAATTGCAATTCATGTTGGAAATATTCTGAAGGAGTAAATGACATTTAATGAGGTACATGGACTCTTAAGTGCATTTCTGTTTTCATGGAGAAATCCTGCGATTAACAAAGATGGAAGGAAATAGAAGGAAAAAGCAATATTTATGATCTTCTAATAGCACAAATTATTGGAAGCAGGTGAACTGGTATCTCTTCCCAAGACCGTTACAGACCTGCTGTTCTGAGCAAGTCTCCAGTTTGCCTCTCTGCTACCTTTCCCAACAGCCTGCTAATGCTTTGATTCAACAAAGCGTTCAAGCCTGTGCTTAATGTTACAAAGAAGTAATTATGTCCTTAAAATTAGTCACATGTTGAGGAGTTCAGTCTGATTTGGTAATCAACTTCGTCTGTCTTTGATAAAGGCATTTTCACTGTTCCTGAAACATGTTGCATTGATTGTAGTTTCCTTATGACCTTGCCATATGATACAACTGGGCAGACAGTACTGTGCCTTTTATTTAACTTATTTCTACAGCTCCATATGATTCTACATAGGTAGAGTAATATCCACATTTTTACAACAATATTAGCAGACCACTTTTTAGGGTTCTAACACCTCAGGTGTAACTTACTGTTGCATTTTTATTGAGGGTAACATCACAGCTTAGAAACCAATTGTGAGCTGCCTGATGTTTTTGTAAGAGTACAGAGATCAAAGAATTGGTAAAAGATACAGTATCGTACTTCACCAATAAACATGTGCTAGCACCTTCCACTGAATTTCTGTGGGCTATTAATGCTTTAGATAAAACAATGGCTCCAGTTATTAAAGCTAAGAAATACAAACGATGAAGTTTTTGCTGAAAGAAAACATGTATTTTGGCTGTATGGTAACTATATTCAACGTCAACTCAGTGCTGCCACTTATTCCACATCAGTAGCTAGGTGATGGATTTCCAGATCTCAATATAGCTGGTTGCAGAGGTTGGATTTTGGGAAGGGAGAGGGGTAGGAAAACTAAGATTTGATGTCATCAAAGCATAAACCCCCTTTTAGAGCTTTGATTAAAAGTGAGTATTGATGAGTCTTGTCAGAAGCCAGTGACTCTCCCAAGCTTTTTTTTTTCCTAAACAGGAGCAACACAATACAAAACATCACACAGGTGCTACATTTTTGACAAGATACTTAAAGAGTCTTTTTATGAGATTGGATTGTAGCTAACTAAATTCAAAGTGATTGTGAAAGGGTGTGGGTCATGCTCCAGATACGGGATGTATAACATCTCTTCCCTCAACAAAATGCCATGAAGTGTTTTCTAAACATATTTAAAGCATATAAAACTTGAAAAATTGGATCATCCCCTTGTACATCAGAGGGTCTTCTGCAGTTTTCTTTTTGAGTAGGTATTTCACGGTTCTCTAGAAGCAAAGGAAGCACATTCATATGTGCATTTTCATATTGGTGATGGCATATTGAAGGAGAGAAATGGTTTGATCATAGTTGGCTGGATTTAGCAAAACACAAAACAGTGGGTCTTCCTGTGTTAACTGAAACAAGCAGGTGTGGAACCAATGTATTGTGCATGATTTTTTCCAGTCTCTGCTGAAATAACTGCAAATCTTTCAAACACCTTAGATATGGAGTAAATAAGGAGCTTTTTTAGTATATTTTGATTTTCTGTAGAGTTCACTCAAATCAGGCATCCAAATGCAAAGTCCAGCACTTGACAGTTTATAGATTTTTGACACTCCCTGGGAGATTGTGGGTAAAGTCTAAAAGCAGCTACTAAGCTGTACTGATGCATAAAAGTTGTTTTGTCATGGGAGGAACAGAAAGTCTGTGACAGAAGTGCTTTGTAAATTTAATGATCTCTTCAGTATTTTTATTTTCTGTATTTATTAATTTGTATGTAGCATTAGTCATAGTTTACTGGGAACAATACATCTTTGAGAGTTCCACTGTAAAAGTAATTGTTAACCTATAAAATGCAATATAAAGTGTAATTACATTCAGATAATTCTTTAGATAAATTGTTCGGAGGAAACATAATAGAAACAACTTAAAAAATTTTTGTAATGTCTCCTGTGTACTAGTAAAGTGTACATACCATTGGCATCCTAGAGTCTACTGTAAAATAAGGCTAGCCAAGCTGGCTAGACCTTATGCACTATTTTGGGTAAATACAGAGATTAAAAAAAAAAGAAGAAAGTGTACCTGCACTTTCATGGTCATTTTTGTATGCCCGATTTGTAAGCCTGAGTATGGCAGACATTGACAACCTACACATTGACGATTTAGACATATAATTGTGATAACTACACTCCAATCGCATACCAGTGCTCATCCTTTCTCCAGAAATAGGGTTTAGTGCATATGTAGAAGTATGTGCATATATCTGTAGAAGTAGATGGTCCACATTTTTATAATTGTTGCCCAATTTGACACCTTGTATATGACTTTATTTTAAGAAAATACTCAGCATTCGGAGTCTAGAAATAGTACACTTAGTGTGCTTAGTGTGCAACTGAAAGCTGAAGCATTAGGTGTCCCTATTTACTCTTGACAAGCTATATAAATATATATTCTTTAAATTCATGAATAGGCTACACATTAGGGATCCTCTTTTTTTTTAACATGTATAAACTTTTTCTCTATTTGAAGTTTCTGTAGAAAAAAAGTGTCTGAGGACATGAATTTTTTCTCCTTCCAAAGATTTTCCTTGTCTTTTTTTCAGCAAGGACTATTTTCTCTAGAAATGAGTTGAGAGCAGTGAGGCTATTTCTGCTTGTTGCAGATTTTTTTCTGTAATGCATTAGTCTAGACTGAATCTAGTCCCCTATATTTTACCAACCAGGAACAGCATATACTATGGGTAATTTAGAACTTGGTGCACAGTATTTGGTTATTGCGATGTTGTCAAATGGAATATAGAAGAGCTGAAGATTTCTGCTTTTCTCTTCCTTGGCACAGTAGTTTGGTTCTTTCTCCCTTATCCAGACATGTAAGTTTTAGAAAATATGTGGAAATTGAGTATCTTAGAAGCTTCTACTCCTCTTCCAAATTTGAATGAAATGCAATTCAGAAGTTATTACGGAGAGACAGACAGATGGACATGTGAGCAGATAACTGAATAAACCTTGTTTCTTTCAGAAACCAGGCTATAAATAGAAATCTCAAAGCTTACTGGGATATAGGAGGGGATCATGGGTAGCTGAACATGGAGGATTGTGGAATAAATATCTTCAACCCGTGTGCTGGAAATATATGGCACTTTAATCTATCACTCACTCACCTTAATGAACTTATCTCAATGTATCCTTCTGAAACAGGGAAATGGTATTCCTCTTTTATTCCTGCTGGACAAGCCAGGCACCAGGAGGTCTGCAGTTTCTTTTACTTCCAGTCTTTTAACCAGATTCAGAATAAAATAAAACAAAAAATATATTATTCTGAATTATTACAATGCTGTAGTACTCGTAAAATAAAATACAGATCTTAATTTTAGTCATTTCTCAAATAAGGCCAATAGTGTCTTCTTGACTTCATTAAATGAAATAAAAAAGCCTCTGAGAGAATCTGAAATTAATCACAGTAATAACGTTGCCCTACATCTTAACATTTAATGAGGCTCTTAAAAAAATCATTCTTTAAATGTATTTCCTAGGAGAATCTCTCTGGCCACTCCCCGACAGCTTTATAAATCTTCCAACATGACTCAGCGCTGGCAGAGGCGGGAGATATCTAACTTTGAATACTTGATGTTCCTCAACACTATAGCAGGTAAGGCTTCTGACTCTTTAATCCTTCATAATATGTTTATGTTTGTCAAAGTCTTAAGCACCGTGACTTGATAGAATACATTTATCCTGCTAGAATTCAGCTGCAACTTTATGATAGATTCTGAAACACACACATTAAATTTTATCAGAAAATGCACAACCTATCACTGAGACTTTAGATTCATGTATTGTTGTGGAGGCTGTTCCTTGCTCCCCTTCTGCCATTTCCTCTGCTGACAGCTTTGTCTGAAGCTTTATTAGAGTCAACAAACCATTGCCAGAGAGTGTCTGGAAATAATAATGGGAAAATGTAATTTCGCTACTTCATCATTCTCAGCAACAGCAACTAGACAGCAGAATAACAACAATATTCTGCCTAGTACAGATGTCACCTGGATTGTGGTATGATTAGATTACAGCATCTTTTCTCATTTAGTTCTTTGAGCTGAAATATAATATCAGATTAGGTATTTAAAATGAGAAATAACTGCCATTGACATCCATTCGTTATTGGCAAAAGAAGAGCTTTTCTGGCAATTGTCATTAATTAAACATACACAATGGCATTTTTTCTTTCACCTTTCCCTTTTAGTGCTAACTGCTGTGGTAATTTTAAATCTAAAACCCAACAGTTTTCTATACCATATACAAAGATTTCCAGGAGGTTGTCTACTATTATGATTCCTGCCTGTAGCACACACGCTGCTTATGAACCTGCCTGCAGAGAGACTTGCTCAGACATTTCACTCCAGTGAGCTTTAATTTGAAACCCAAATTAAATTCCACCAGGCATCACTTTGTACTCCAGTGTTACAACTCTCATCTTTACTTGGTCCTAACTTTTATGCTTGAGGTTATCCTCAGGTCAGACATAAGACAAATGTAAGTGCAAAACCCAAACGTAGCACCTGTAAGTGCCTGTTACACTGGCCAGTCTGAGGACAGTCACTGCGTTCTTCTCAGTAGGGCAGTGGCAGAATTCAGGAGCTGTCAAACCGACTTACTTTGAGCCTTTAGGCTTTTGCCTCTGTGCTTATATGGTAGTCATCTTCCGTGCATCCAGTCTTACAGACGTTAATAAATGTGTCATCAAATTATCCCAGTGTGATACAGAAGTGCTACCACTGAACAGTTGGAAATCTGAGGGCATGTTTATCTTGTGCAGTGGAGCACAAAGCAGAGACCCTGAAGCTACCGGAGACCTGGGCTGGAAAGTCCATATGGCGCACTCCCATGCAGGCGCACCAGCTTGGTTCCCAAGCATCATAGCCACAGTCCCGCAGATCTCTGCTGAAGGAAGGAGCCCTGCTGAGCATTTATTACCTCTGGTGCAGCGCCTCAAGAATGCCGCTATCCTGCTTCTGGACACTGGCCTGCCTCCAGCCGCTCTGTGTCTCTTGCACATCCGCTGCCCTTCTGGTGATGAAGAAACGCAGGCAGAGCCTCCCAGGCTCCCTGACTGCCTCACCCGAACTTGGAGCGTTTACTGGAGAGCCGGGAAGTTAGCCTAGGCCCCCTCAGTCTTTGTCCAATACATTATTGACAGAATTGTCCTTCACTTGTAATTTCCTTTTTATGTATTAATTTCTTCTGTAATCAGTGTGTCTAAACTCTTTAAATGAGAATAGACAAGAGCTAAGCCAATTTGTGATGAATTACTTTTCATTTTTAATCAAGTTAAAACTCCATGGTCATTTATTTTTAGGTATATCACCAAAGCATCCAAACCTGGAAGACATCATTATGTCTGAAGTCAATTAGGAATTGCAGTGACACTTGCACTAAAGTATCCATCAGTAAACAAGCTTCAGTCTGAAGAGATTCCTTCAGAGTATCTCAGAGGTCTCAAGAAAAATGTTTTTTGACCTATTGTTTGAAACTAGTACTGCTAGGCAGGCTTTATAGCCAAACACCTGGGTGGTGGCATGAGGCACGTTTCTCTTAATGTCATCTAGTGTCATTCACCTGCCTTACAACAGGATGGCCTGACATTTGCATTCCAGGTACCACCTGCTATTCCCAAGGTTTGGAGGATTACTGACTCTAATTTTTTTTTGTGTCTATGAGCTTGTATTGTATTTGGAAAAGCTTACAGCAGCTTGGTCAGTACCTTAGTAGTGTCTCTTTCTGACTCAAAGCACTTAATTTCTGGCAGATATTTTTGTATCAGTCTCTTACTGGTAGATCTCATTTGTTCATGTAATCTCATTGTTGTTAATTGTGTAAGCTCACTTGCTCATTTTCACAGCATTACCTACCATCTTATGAAGTCTTTCAGCAGTGCACAATCAAATTCAAATTCAAATTTAGGTAAGAACATATTCCCCGAAAGAGACGGAGGTAAATTTGAGTCTCTAGAAGAAATTCAGCCTAACTCTTTGTCTCCATCTTGTATTGACGTAATCTCATTGTTGTTAATTGTGTAAGCTCACTTGCTCATTTTCACAGCATTACCTACCATCTTATGAAGTCTTTCAGCAGTGCACAATCAAATTCAAATTCAAATTTAGGTAAGAACATATTCCCCGAAAGAGACGGAGGTAAATTTGAGTCTCTAGAAGAAATTCAGCCTAACTCTTTGTCTCCATCTTGTATTGACTGACTTATGTTTAAAGTAATTATTTTTAACGATTCTTTGAGGTCACATGGATCAACAAATATATGCTTTCTGAAGGAGAGCCAATATGCTGATTTTTAAAAGTTTCTGAAGTGACCAGCATTGGTTGAATAAAAATTAATACCCACACATACTCCTGCTAAGATGTGAGCAAGGTGTTGAGTAACATTTGAGGACCTTTTCATTGTCACAAAGAATATCCCTTACTCTGATTTTTGTTTCAAACCCATCTGCATTGCTTGGCTTTTGCTAATGGGTCTTCACCAATCTATATATTTTCTGTTCTGTTTTCATTTTCCAAGAAGGGTAACAGTCAACATGTTAAGTTGGGAAGAAAGTATCACTGTACGAACTCATAAAAGATTTTGGAGGGATGTCTAAAAGCAGCTGAGGTTCTTGGGTGCTTTCCCAATCAGCAAGAGTGCTGTCACATCTGATAGTGTTCCGGAAGGATTAGTGAAATAAAAGGTCCTGCTGACATCAGCTATGACTATTGCATGTTAGAATGGCCTTCAATGCAAAGACCTTGTAAGGAAGCATGATTACATTGCTGTATTATGTGCTTTCTAATTCTGCTTCTTCATTTTTTTGAAGATTTTGAAGATTCACAGTCTCTATGAACATAGATAAATAGATTTCAGTTGCTAATGTCATTATAACGTCTGCACTCACTGATGCACTCTCATAGAAACTTGTGATTTTTTTTGAAAATTAGAATAAAATTTACTCTTGACAACTGAACTCCCTGCCAACAACACACACACACACACAATCTTTTCTGAAAACAACGTAAGAAAATTAAAACTGACTGAAACCCAACAGGCAATTCTACACATGACAATAAACTAATTATTCCAGTTTGGAACATTTTCCAACTAAAATTTTCCAACTTTTTGACAGAAGCAAAAATCCCTCAAAGTTATTTTTTGGAAGATCAGCCTGGTTTTGTAGTTCTAATGAAGTCTGCACTTCAGCTAGGAAGCTGACTTCTAAAAACTCATGAAGAACTTGGGAGTATTGCAAAGAATCTCATCATAAAGTTCCTGGCAAGCCAGAAACCCACCCACAATGGAGGGCACGTGAGCTCCAAGTCAAATGGCAGTGGAGAAAGCTTCAAAACATAAATATATGTTAGAAAGCCTAGGAGTTCTCACATCCCCAAGATGTTTCCTGGCTCCACCATAGCATGGCACTGTACTGCCAGGGCCTGAGATCTGGGAAACTGCGGGGTTGAGAGCTATGAGGCAGCCTGAATGACACCACTGCTTTTACAGCTGTGCCTATATTTCTGTAAATCTTCTGTTGAAAGGTATTTCTCCACAATATTTCCTTTACAACAAATAGGCATTTTCTGATGAAGCACTAAAAAAATTAATATCTCTACCAGCAATACAGTACTGGAAGCGAAGTACCTCTACTACATGTTGCCTGTGTTTTGATAACACTGAACTGATAACTGTCCGGATACATCTGTGTTAAACAGAAGCAAATTCTTATATGCACTGTAGACAGGACCCTTGGCAGTCAGAAGAAAATACAGGATTTTCTATTTTGTACACAAAGATAAGAGTATTGAATATATTAATGACCTCCTTTGCCAAGTAAAGACAAGAAATGTATTTTCTTTTCTTTCTTCTTTGGAAATCCAATTTCCAAATACATTTTGAATTACACTCTTTTGTAATGAGATCCCATAAGAAATATTTCCTTAAAAGGTACAACTTCTTTGCCAGTAATTGTTCATGTAGGCAGCGATAGCCTAATTTTAGACTATAACTGTTTGTTTAAGCAGCATCTTCTTTTCTAACAATATCATTGTTTTTAACCATTGAGAAATATGTGCATCAAAATTTTTTTATTCGTGTTGCCATTTAGCTCCTACTGGCTTATTCAGCCTGTCAGAGCTGTAGCTTAGTCACTTAAGAAACGTGGAGGTTTGGCACTTAAGAAATGTGGATTATCTGCTGGTAAGGAAGTGATACATAGGTCCCTTTGTTGTTTTCTTTCTCTTCCAAATAAATAGAGGTCCACTAACAAAGTGGTTTAGTACACTTTTTGCCAGTTCTTTGTAGCTTCCTTTCTTCTTACAATGGTGCTTAATTAGCATCTAGCCCTTTACAAAACAGCAAGAAATCACTTATGTTTTCTTGTGATCCTTTTCTGAAATTATTCAAGAAACAGCAGCCTTGGAAGAGAGACGTTCAGAAGTGAGGCTTCTGACACCAACTCATTTCTTTCATTTGTGACATGCAACTAGGTCCTTTCCCACAAGAAGTCCTTTGCCTGCTTGTTAATACTGTTAATTACACAGGCTGGTTGGTCTCTGCAGAACAGAACCACTGAAATAAATACACAAATCTCTCCTTAAATCTCTCCCTGGTTTGCCAATATGTCTGTCCTGACAAGCATGGCCCCTGGCTATTCTATAAGTTCTTAATCAATGAAATACGGAAGTGCCCCCTTGGAAAAAATCCATCTTTCTATGACTCTTTTTTTTTAATCTTTATATCACCCTGTTACCACCTCTGAAACATTGCCTGGCTTCATTTTTAGTTTAACTGTTTCTGTTGTGATCTGTACTCATGATTTAATAACTGTCTACTTCAGCTATCGTCGTTCTCTCTTTCTAGATAATTTCCTATCCAAGGATATATGACTACCATCACTTGTGCTGGCCTGATGACTCATTGCAATATCAATTCAAAATCGCTCTCCATTTTCAAAACTCTCTAAAGTCTTGTTTCAACCTGTTTCTCTGGCCCTCTAGCAAACTATTTTCTCGCCTCCCTCTTCTGTTTCCAAGGTCTTCACCTCTTTCTTGCCCTCTTTTCTGACTCGAGCATATTTCATCATGTTTACAGCTCTGGGTTTTTCTCCCAAAGGTAAACACTGCACTCTGCTACTTATCAATCAGTCTCAGTGTTATACGCTCCGTGCCCCTGGTTTTTGTCCTGGTTGTGTAGACATAAGCCTTCCTGGCCACCTTCCCCCTCCTCCTACCTATTCCCTTCTTAGGGATCCTTTAGCTTTGAAGGCTTGGAAGCAGCTATGATTATACTAATTGTCCTTTCTTCAGGTGCACAGGAAAAGGCCATATTGCATGTGATCAGCGTGTATGTCAACTGAACCCTCTGGGTGATATAGGGAACAAGTAATTTTTACTATTCTCAGTTACAAGATTATTGAAAAAAAGTACTTAAAAGTAATCCCAGCACAGCAAAAGGAATCAAGAGGAGTGGGAACAAGAAGTAGTTTTGTAATATGGATGCAGTGCCCACTCTTTTAGTTAGAAGTCTAGTTTTCAAATCTATTTCTCAGTATTTAACTGATCCCTGCTGTTTTTTTTCTTTTCAAATTGCAGTATATTAAATGTGTGTTTGCATTTGTATTTATTGAAAT